AGGAGGGGGCCGGGCCGGGCCGGCCGGGGCGGGCTCGCGTCTGCCCGTGCCAAGGGGCGGGCAGCAGCAGCCCCGGCGCCGAGCGGCCGCAGTCGGCGAAGCAGCGGGAGCGGCGCGGCCCCGGAGAGCCGGTACGGGCCGGGCACGGGCCGGGCACGGGCCGGGCGGGGGGAGCGGGGCTGGGGGCAGCACGTCCCGGGTGGAGGAGCCGCCTGCCTGTCCCCTCGGGTGTCCCCGCGGCCCGGACCGTCCCCGCCGGAGCTCCGGCTCCTCAGGGGCTTCGCTGCCCCGTCGCTGCCCAGCGGCCCCTCTCGGCGGGGCGGGCTCCGTCCCCGGGAGCCGTGGGGCGCCCCCGGTCCCGCAGCCCCCGGGGCAGCCTTCTGGCCATGCATCCCCTCCGAGCTGCCCTGGATCTGTGGGGCGGGTGGCYGTGGGGCACAGCAGAGTCCGCGGACACGGTGTGCAGTGGGGCAGTGGGGGCGTTGGGGAGGGGGCGGTCCCTCCTGTTGGGGCACGGACCTCCCCACAGTGACATTTAGTTCTCCTGGGKGTCCGAGCGGCCGCGGAGCTCTCCACGCTGCTGTCCCCGGTGCACTGCTGGGGCTGTCACYGCCAGCTCTATGGGGACACGGTGACCGCAGCTCCGCGCAGCCCCCCGGCCGCTGGCTGCTCACTGTGCGCTGCAGCCCAGGGCTCACCCAKGGCCACGGGCTGCGCTGGGTCCCTGCGGGGCCCTGGCAGGAGGCAGCTCCTCCGCAGAAACCCTGGGCTCAGGTTTCCAACGGGAAGGCTCTGGCTCCAGCGCCTGGCTCCCGTCCTGCTCTCCTCGCCATCTAACTGTGATTCAGGCTGGGGCTCCCCGAGATGGGGGGTCTGTGCTGGGTGACAGGTCTGGACCACGCTCAGGACATCGCTGTCCTGCTGGGAAGGAATCAATGGCCACAGCTCTGAGTCCACAGCTCCCAGACTGGGCTCACGGCAGCAGCTTCCCAAAGCTGGAGAAGCTGCTACCTCTAGCTGAGGGCTTGGGGAAGCCAAGGCTCCCAAGCCTGGGGCAGGGCTTGGACACCCCTGGGCTATATCCAGAGTCAGATCCACCTGGATATTTGGTTGGTGCTGGGGGACAGTCAGTTTATCTCCAGGATCTCAGCTCTCAGGGTGGCCCATTGTGCCCTGCCACCTTGCACAGGTGGGTGGCAGGACACACAGAGGCACCAGGCTGCTCACGGCTTCCTGCTCCTTCCCGCTCCTTCCCACAGGGAATGGCACATCCTTGCCCCATGCCAGCATCTCTCCCTGCTCCTCCAGCCTCAGCTTGGCCCCTCTGCCTCCACAGAGACTCCTGGAAGCACCAGGAGCTGCCCCCAGCTCTGCTGCCTGGCTCACTGCTGCGCCGTGGGTGCCCAGAGCAGGCCCTGCCAGGGCACAGGAGGGTGCTGGCAGAGAGGTGGCTGCATGGTCAGGGTTGTCCCCTTCCCAATTTCCTGCAGACTCCGGGGGGGGATGAGGAGGTGCTGGGAGGTGGCAGGAGCTGGAGGGCAGGCAGAGCAGCCCGTTGGGGCACTTTGGGCATGGTGCAAGCCAGCAGCAGAGCACCCTATTTGCAGGCTCCAAGAGCAACATGGTGCCTCCTCCATCTGTGGGTACAGACACCCCAAGCCACCACGGGGAACTGCTGCCAGCCTGTACCTGGCACATTAGGCCAGGGAGGGCCGTGCAAGCACTTAAGTGAGCTTGGCAGCCGGGCGCGGGGCCTTGCTGCTGGCACACGCGGTGCTTGTGGTCTGACCCTGCGAGAGGAGCYGGTTCTGGGAAGCACCAGCGCCGGCGCCGGGCTCTGCTGGGAAAGAGCCCGGTGGTGCTGGGGCAGCTGGGGCAGCCCCTGCGTGGTGCCCTCGGCCCCCAATACGTGTCCCTTGCATGTGCAAAGGGAGCCGTGCGCAAGGGCAGAGGGGAGGCAGAGCCCAGGGAGGAGACGCTAACACCCCAGCGATGGCCCGTGCAGCCTGTCCCTGCTGTGACCCTGCTGTCACCGCCCCCCCAGCCCAGCCCGGTGCCATGGAGGGTGCACTGGCAGCCCTCCCCTCGCAGGGCTGCCTGCACCCTCCTTGCTGGGGGGCAGTGGGTGCCCAGGGTGCAAGGGGAGCGGCGCTGGGCCGGCGGGTGCCGGGGCTGGCAGCGGGGCCGGGCAGCTGCCTGCGCGCTGACGGCACCCGCTATTCCCAGCCCCGCGCCGCTGGCGCCGCTGCTGAGTCAGCCCTGGGACACGGCGGGCACCCCGGGGTGCTGCGCGGGGCCCTCTGCCTCCACGGCCCGGCTGCTGGCGGGATCCCCCCCATCTCGCRCCCAAATCACAGCCCCACCGGCTGCGGCATCCTGCCCTCAAGGGCTGGGTATTGGCACCAGCAGGCCAGGTGARAGGCAAACACAGCGGTTTATTGTCAGCCTAATTAAAGTCCCTGCAGCCTAGTGAAAGACTTATTAGCCCAGTTATGATGACAGTGGCATATACAGTCCCATTTACCCACTTCCCACAGCACACTCCCAGCAATGCCACCATTAACATTGCGTGTGAGGTGCCCTTGTGTGGTCCCTGGGCTCCCTGGGGTGCTTCTCCCCTGGATGAAGGGGCTCTCGGCAAGCCCTGGGCACCCCGGGCAGGGCAGTGCTGCTGGTTTCCTCCTCCTGGCCCCCATGGCACTCTCACTGGGTCACTCTCGCACAGCTCTCCCTGCTTTCACCTCCTTGGCTCCCCGTTACCTCCAAGTTTTCCATCCGTGCGATGCTTCCCRTACAGGACAGGCTGGTTCTTTGTTCTCTCGGCTGCAGTTTTACCCATCTCCCAAGGCTGCCTTTGCCCGGAGAGCCGCGAGCRGCTGCCAGCAAGTCCTGCGAGACACAGGGGGTGCAGCTCCCTCCCGGGCTCCGCTTCGGGGGCCCCTCTTCCAAGCCCCTGCTTTTCCCCCACACCTCCCAAGAAGCTCTGGTTTCCTGAGCACACAATGAATATTTCATCAGCCCGGCCGGCCGAACTCGGCGCCGGGCGAGAGCGGTGCCCGCGCGGGGCGGGCGGCGCGCGCAGAGGTGCCCGCGCGCCCCAGCCGCTGCCTTGTGCCCCGCAGGCGCCGCGGCCGCGCGGAGGACACAGAGCCATGGCCTCGCTGCCCTGCAACGCCCGTGAGTGCGAGCCGGGGGCGGGCAGCGCGCGGCCCCGCGCCGGCCACGCGGGTGGYGGCAGCAAATCCGGCCCTTGGCCCCCTTGCCTGGGATAGAGCCACCTCCCCGTGCCCTGGGAGCCCCCCCTACCTCGCTGGATCGCCGGTGCCCAGGGTGGGTGTGCGGGTGGGATCCCAAGGGCTCGTGGGGAGTCGCCTTCCACCCCTCTTGCGCCTCAGAGGCTGCTCCTTCTTCATCCCAAACTGAGGGTTCRCGCAGGGTCCCCGGAGCTGGAGGGAGCCAGGGAACAGGGCACGGTGTCCCAGGGCTGCAGCCTTCTGTGTCCGCAGGCATCCAGCTCACGGAGCAGCTGGAGCAGATGCAGCAAGGGACGCTGATGCGCAAAGTCAAGTCCAAGAGCTGGAAGAAGCAGCGCTACTTCAAGCTGCAGGAGGACTGCATGACCATCTGGTACCAG